CCGTTAAGCCAAATTGCTTCCTTCACAACTTCTGTAACTGCCATGTATTCTGCCTCTGTAATAGACAAAGCCACCGTAGATTGCAAAGTAGACTTCTAACTTACTGGGGCTTTAGCAAGAGTAAACAAATACCTAGTAGTTGATCGGCGCTTATCCAAATCACCAGCATAGTCGGAATCAACATATCCAACCACATACTGACCAACTTCGTCCTGTTCAAAAACTAAACCAACATCCACGGTTGTTGGAGATACTGTAGAATCCATTTCATATCTTGCCAATGTTCTTCTCCAGGATCATGCATGTACCTGCTCACAACTCCAACTGCTTGTAAAATATCAGGACGCGTACACACCATTGCATACATCAAGCTCCCAACTGCATTAGCATATGGAACTTTTGTAATATACTCTCGTTCTTTGTTAGTTTTAGGAGATAATTGAGAACTAAGTTTCAAATGAGAAGCCAGTGGGATACTTACATGTTTGGTATTTTCATTCATGCCAAAACATTGTAATACATTTCTCAGATATTGCTTATGTGTTAAACAAAGCTTCTCTATCTGTCTATCTCTGCTTATCTCCATACCAATAATCTTCTTGGCCTCACCTAGATCTTTCATCTCAAACTCTTGATTCAACTGAGCCTTTAATTTGTCTATCTCCTTTTAACTCTTCGAAGCGATCAACATATCGTCAACGTACAAGAGAAGATAAATGAAAGATCCATCTTTGAGCTTTTGCAAATACACACAATGATCATATTTTCTTCTAGTGTACTTTTGCCTCCTCATAAAGCTATCAAATCGCTTGCACCACTGCCTCGGAGATTGCTTCAATCCATATAGCGATTTTTTCAGTTTACAAACCCATTTCTCACAACCACCATCTTTGTATCCTTCTAGATGAGTCATATAGATCTCCTCTTCTAAATCGCCGTGCAAGAAAGCCGTATTTACATCAAGTTGAGCTAGCTCTAAATTCAACTGTGCTACCAAGGCCAATAATATTCTAATGGAAGAATGCTTCACAACAGGGGAAAATAGTTCATTATAGTCGATTCCCTCCTTTTGAGCGTAGCCTTTAGCTACCAATCGTGCCTTGTAGCGAACATTTTTCTTGCTACGAGATCCATCTTTCTTTGCAAATACCCATTTGCATCCAATTGCTCTTTTACATTTCGGTAATTGATACAGTTTCCAAGTGTTGTTCTTTTGGAGAGATTGCATTTCTTCATCCATGACACTTTTCCACTTATCACTTTCCAAGCTTTGTATTGCTTCTCGGTAAGTGATAGTTATATCATCATCAACAACTGGAAGAGCATAGGCCACCATATCAACAAATCGAGTAGGTCTACGAATTTCTCTCATTGGCCTTGTAACTGCAAGTGGTTCTGGTGTCTCTAATGGTTCTTGGGCTTGAACATCTTCATCTTCTGATTCTTCTATTGGAGTTGAAGAATCAACTACATCAACTTCTGGGATCATCGTCTACTGAAACTCTACATGTTTTGGAGTATGCTCCACCTGCTGCGGAGTACTACTTGTCTGGACAACTTCATTTGTTACCTTCTTTACTAGTGCAATTTCATCAAAGGTAACATCTCTGCTACAAATTATTTTCTTGGTGTGTAAACACCAAAGGCGGAATCCCTTCACTCCATGGGTGATTCCCATAAAGAGAATCTTCTTTGCTCTCGGATCAAGCTTGGATTCCTTCACATGATAATAAGCAGTGGATCCAAATACATGTAAGAAATTATAATCAGTAGCAGGTTTTCCAGACCATACCTCCAATGGTGTTTTTCCTCCTATCGCTGATGACGGTAGACTATTGATGAGATAGCCAGCATATGTCACAGCCTCAGCCCAAAATGTCTTGTCTAACCCAGCATTAGACAACATACATCAAACTTTCTCCAATAGTGTTTGATTCATATGTTATGCCACCCCATTATGTTGTGGTGTATTTCTAACAGTGAAGTGTCGAACAATACCATACTCATGGCAAACGTCAAAGAATGGGTCATTTTTATATTCCCCTTCATTGTTCGTCCTAAGACGTTTGATCTTTCTATCAGTCTGGTTCTCGATCATATTTTTTCATTTCATGAAAATTCGAAGCACTTCATCGGATACACCCAAACTCTTCTAGAAAAGTCATCTATTAAAGTTACAAAATAATGGTTTACTCCCAAAATCGATGTCTTTGAAGGACCCCATACATCTGAGTGAATATAATCCACAATACCTTTTGTATTATATATAATGGTGTCAAACTTCACTCTCTTCTGCTTTCCCAGAACACAATACTCGCAAAAGTTCAATTTGCAAGCCTTTGCACCTTTCAACAATCCTTTCTTTGCCAGAATTTGCAAGGATTTCTCTCCAGCATATCCCAACTGCATATGCCACAACTGGGTTGCGTCCAAATCATCACCTCCGGAAGCTGCTGTAACTGCTCCAATAATTGTACTACCTTGGTAGTAATACAAATTATTTTTCCTGATGCCTTTCATCATCACTAGTGTGCCATATGTGACTTTTAAAACTCCATCTCTCATAGTGACTACTGAACCTTTAGATTCCAAGGCTCCCAACGATTTTTCTTCAAACTGGGCATGTATAGGACATGAGTCAGAACTCTGGTTGATCCATCTTGATTATTCAATCAAATTGAACCTATCCCAACAGTTTTACAGGCATTGTCATTGCCCATATAAATAACTCATGCATTTAGTCCTACTAAATCGGAGAACCACTCCCGATTAGGGGACATATGATAGGTACAACCCGAATCTAATATTCATTCATCTGAATGAAATTTTGTTGATGAAGTAACCAATGATATGTCAGAGTCATTTACATCATGCTCTGCAACACATGCATCTTGAGCATTTTTTCCTTTCTTCTTCAACATCGGACAATCTTTCTTTTAATGGCTTTTCTCATGACAAAAGGCACATTCATCTTTTCCCAGTCTGGACTTCGAGTTTGATCTCCCTCTCCACTTTTGACATTTGACTTTTCGAGCGACCTCTTGCCACCATGGCCTTCGCTACTTCGTTCTTGCTCTCCTTCTTCGTTTTCTTCCTAAGCTCATAACTATACAAAGCACCAGTTACATCTTTAAGGGTAACATTATCCTTACCATGAAGTAACGTTGTCTCAAGGTGCTCAAATTCATCTAGAAGAGATGACAAAAACATCAAGGCCAAATCTTCATCTTTGAAGGTTTCATTCATGCCCAATAAGTCTGCCACTAGCTCATTGAACGCAGTGATATGTTCATTCATACTGGTGCCTGGTTGATAATCAAATCTGAACAATCTTTTCTTCATGTAGAGACGATTCTGAGAGCTTTTCTTTAGGAATTTTTCCTCCAATGCTTTCCACATTTTACTTGCAGAAGTCTCGTTCTTGTAGCTATATTTTTGTTCCCTGGAAAGAAAATATCGAATCGTGTTGCACTCCAAACGATTGATTGTTCCTTATTCTTTCTCCTCTATATATTCGGGCTTTTCTTCCTTAATGGTGATGTCTAGACCTTGTTGGAATAAAGCGTCTAACACTTCACCTTGCCACATGCCAAAATGACCAGATCCATCGAACAACTCAACCGAAAAATTTGCATTTGACATCACCCTCCTCACCGGTCAAGATGAAGAGCTTGATGTCTCAACTGATCCGTATTTTGGCATTTTAATTCTCACGAACAATATTCAATATCACGAACTGTATCTTTTCAGCAACGGAACCACCAGGATAACCTCAACAGAAGCTCTGATGCCAATTATTGGGGAAACATGGTTATTTCCTACACGAACGTAGTTTCAAAATTGACTTTACGAGGTTCGACGAGAATATCGTCTACTCCTCGGGCACCACACCGGATGATAACTTCACTATCAACAAATATTACAACAAATGGAATTCTTTAGAATTCCCAAAGTGAGAGAATGAAGAAAACAAGAGGAAGAGAGAACTTGTTTTGGGATGATTTCTAATAAAATACTTAGGCCTATTTATAGTTGAGTTTTAAGGACTAAACTTATAAATAACGTAATATTTTATGGACCAAAGAATAAGTTGGCCACCTACCAAAGAATTTTCCAATGTGTACAAGTTAGCCACCAACCAAGATGAATTTTCCAATAAGTTGGTCACCAACCAAGATGAAATTTCTAACTTGCCAACTTAATTTCAAGCCAAACATAACAATTTATTCTATTTAAGGTTTAGAAATTAGGTGTTTAGAGTTTAAAAGTTTAAATTTAAATTTTAGAGTTTAAAGTTTAAAGTTTTGAGGTTTTAGGATTTATTTGTGTAAATTTTATTTTATATAAACTACGTATCAAATAATAATAATTTATTTATATAAAAAGATAAAGAGAATATTTTTTTTCCAAAAAACTACTACAAATAAATAATTTATAATTACCTATAATTTTAAAAATGCCTAAATTATAATATAAATCACCATTCATTTATATTTATATTTATTTAAAAACACGAAAAGAATAAAAGAGTAATGAAAAGAAAAAGAATAGTGTAAAAGAAAAACAAATACAGGAGCAAAAGCAAAAAATAAAAACATGTGACATAATTATTTATCATATGTCATCAAATATCTAAGATATACAATAGAATAGAATTTAGTTAAAACAATATTAAAAACTTAAAAACTTAATTACAAGATTTTAGAATTTAAAGGAACTTATCCTATAATTTGAAGACTTTTAGTAGAATCAAAAATTTTCTTTTATCCTATCTCATCATAGATATATACTGTACAAAATTTTATACACTAACCACATAAATTAAATAATTCATCAAAATCTCTTTAGAATAAATTAAATAATTAATATTTTTAATAATTACTTGAATATTTTGGACATTAGATATCATATTATTTAGTGTTAAAATATATATTTTTAATTAAATACTAGTATCATTTTTCTAGAAACAAAGGCCTTTTCCCCCTTTCTTCTCTCTCCATCTGCAGGGGAAAAGCTAAGGTTATTATTACATGTTTTATTGAGAAAGAGAGATCAGTTTCCCTTTACCTCAATTCTTTCCCTTGTATATTTCATCTCCTCTTTTCAACGAAGGAAGAGAGAATAAAAAGGAGGAAAAAAAAATTAAAACAGTCACCACTGCAAAGAGCAACGCAGAGTAAATAAGAAAGAAAGAGACGACACACAGATAAAGAGTGAGAAAGAGAAGGAGGAGGGAATTGAAGAAGCTAGCAGTGCCACAGCAAGAGAAAACGATGTCTAAGAGCTTTACATATACTCTGCAACTCTAACAAGGTCTGCTTAAATATTATAATTATATACGCTTCATTTATGTATAAACATGAAAGATGAAATGGAAAATGGTATATATATAATCTACAGAAAAACCCCAGTTCATATCTTTCACTTAGTGACTAGAACTGTATCTCCTTTTTGACCCTTTTTGTATCTTTCTTCTTGTTTGATGATTTGGTATTGTTCATTATGAATAACACTAATTTCAATATGGGTATTTATTCGTTTTTGTTTATGGGTTACCGATCCATAACAGAAGAGAAAAAAGGTGAAGGGAAGAAGAGTATGAGGGTTGCTAGAAGGAGATCAAATAAGCAAAGGGTTTATAGGATCATGAAGAAGAAGATATCGATATGGGGATAGCTACATCACCAGTCGTCCCATCAATTATTTCTCAGCACTCCAAGACTAATCATTCAACAAATTCTATGTCCCAAGATTACCACCAAGCAGCTGGAATCTTCAGCTTCTCGAATGGCTTCGAGAGATCAGCCATGAGCCACCACCACCACCACCACCAGCAGCAGCACTTGGCGCAGCAGATCCGCAGAGATAAACTAAGAGTTCAAGGCTTTGAGCCACCAGCTCTACCAGTAGTAGGGATCGAAGATGAAGCGTCAAATGCTCTTCCTGTTTATGAAGCCGATGGTATGTTATCAGAAATGTTCAACTTTCCTTCAGGTGTGAACGCCTCGGCCGAGTTATTAGACCAACATATACAGCCTAATTATCGAGCAAACAGGCCACCGGGTAATACTAGCAACGAGTGGTTTAACAATAGGCAAGGTGTTGTTGGGAGTTTGGGACTGGTAGGTGAATCAAAGAGTCATGATAACCGTGATACTTTAGCAGCTCAACAGCAACATCAACCGTTGCTAAGCATTAATGCCGAATCAGCAGCTGCCATGAACCTTTTCTTGATGAATCCACAGCCAAGATCGTCATCTCCTCCTTCAACTTCTTCTAACACTCTACACATGTTACTCCCAAATCCATCTACTTCTCTTCAAGTGTTCAGTGTTTCGGGTCCCGGAGGGGCGCCGTTCGGTTCAAGCAGTGTTTGGGTTCCTGATAGTGCGCATCAAGGAGATAACGCTGGTTCCCAACTCAACAACTCAAGTCAAATCGGAGGCGGCCTTTCACTTTCTTTATCATCTTCTTTGCAACACTTGGAGGTTGGCAAAGCTGAAGAATTGAGGATGAGAAATGGTGGGTTACTGTTCTATAATCAAGAAGGGGGCTCTTCCGCTGCTGCTCAACTTCAGTACAAGAACTTGGCCAGTCATCATCATCAGCCACTGCATTTGCAAGGTGGAGCGGGGGAAAACCATCAAGTTCATGTCGGGTTCGGATCCTCGTTAACGGTCAATGCGTTGAGAAATTCAAAGTACGTTAAAGCTGCTCAAGAGTTGCTAGAAGAATTCTGTAATGTTGGAAGAGGCCAGTTCAAGAAGAACAAATTTGGTATGATCAACACAAACCCTAATTCTAATCCAGGTAGTAATGGAGGCGGCGGAGGTGGTGGTGGTTCTTCTTCATCAACAAAAGATCGTCTCCCTATATCAGCAGTTGATAGAAATGAACATCAAAGAAGGAAGGTCAAACTTTTATCCATGCTTGATGAGGCATGTAATCTATTTTCTCTTTCTCATCTTCTCTCTCTTTCAAAGAGTCAAAGAGCCAATCTTTTTTCTTATTCTTTCAAGCACAAATAAGAATCTCCTGGCCGCCATTTTTAAATAGAAGAAACAATGTTTTGAAAATCGGACCGGATCGGTCGGTTCAATCGGGAACCGCTGTCTGATCCAATACATTCTATTCCGGTTGAATCGGTTCTAGTGAACTGTAAGGAACCGTTTGAACCGGCTTTGAACCGTTCAAACCGGATCGGACCGTGAACCGGTTCAACCTAAATTTTTTTATTTTTTATTAAATGTTTTTTGGTATTTTTATTTATTTTTTTAAATAATTATGACGTCGTCCGGTTCTTACGACCGATTCAACAGGTTAAACCAGTAAACCGATAGCACGGCCGATTCGCTGACCGGTCCAATTCTAAAAACCATGAGAAGAACCCATATACACAACAAAGCCGGCTGGTGCAATAAGACTCCATAGTCCATAGGTCTATTTGGTAGAGTTTGATATTATTTGTGGGTGTTAAAGTACTTAGGGATTGTTTGTTTGTCTCTTAATGAAACTATTCAGCGCTGAATGCTGAATAGTTTGGCATTCAACGTGTTGTTTCGTACCTCTAAATGATTAAGTGTTGACTGATTCAGTAAAATAGTGCTGATTGATTCAGCACAGAAGTACATTCTGAATTATTCAGAGCCATTATCAAACAACATGTTACATTCAGAGCTAATTCATACAGAGCTTCTGAATCATTCAACATTTGAATCATTTAACCCTTAATCATTATGAAGTAAACATACAACCACTTAGTCGACTAAGGTTTATTGGTAAGAATTTAAAAATCATTTAACTTGTTGGCAATCCTAATAAACGTGTCATAAATCATAATAATAAAATTGCAGGAAAAGGCATTAATATTATAACTTGGTTGACTATGGGGAAAGCAGTTGTTCTTTCCTTTTCCTTTAATTTTCTTATACTGCTTGTCTCTTGTTTACTCACACAAGCCCCATCAATTGGCTGAAGGATATTCATTTTTTCTCCCCACACTTTCCATTTAACAATTATTTCACTGTATTGGAAGCTTTGGATTCATGCATTGATTTCTTTTTGAGGGTTCCTTAACCTAGCCATGCCAAATCACGTCATTGATTCGCAGGTGGACCGGAGATACAACCATTACTGTAAACAAATGCAAACGGTGGTGAACTCATTTGATCTGGTGATGGGTTTCAGGGCAGCACTGCCTTATACCGCACTTGCTAAGAAGGCGATGTCGAGGCATTTCAAGTGTTTGAAAGATGCGATATTGGCACAGTTGCAGCATAGCTGTGAGGTACTAGGAGAGAAAGATGCAGCTGGAAACTCCGGCATAACAAAAGGAGAGACACCGAGGTTAAAGGTGTTAGAGCACAGCTTAAGACAACAGAGAATGTCCCATCAAATGGGGATGATGGAACACGAAGCTTGGAGACCGCAAAGGGGATTGCCTGAACGTTCTGTCAACATTTTGAGAGCTTGGCTTTTCGAGCATTTTCTTCACCCGTACGTGTTTGCCTTTGCTTTTGCCTATATTATTATCTTATACTACTGTAACACTAGAAATCTGCATCTAAAAAGCTGGAACTTGAAATAAAATCTGTCATAAATTAGTATATATGTGACATAAATGATACTTTATTAGTTCACAAAATCCAAGTTCTTTTTCTCCTTTGTGTCAGTTGCTGATTAATGTATAGAGATAAACAATAATACAGACTCTCCCTGGATGTTGCCAAAAAGCTGGCTAGAGACCTTTTTAATTTCCCTCAGCTTTTTTTCCTTCTGATTACATTATATGTACATATAGCTTTACTTTGGCACTAGCAGACCCAGAAATTAGTTAATATTAAAAAGCCACTTTATCCAAGGATAATTCCACGGAGATGACAGTCCTTATTGACATAACAGATCCTTTTTTCTCTCTCTCCAGCTTCTCTTCCACTGCATCAAATCGTCATAGTTCATGAACATACCCAAACAAACTTTTCTTTTTTCTTTTGTTGTTATTCTGAAAGTAGCTGAAGAGAAAACGAAGAAGTGTTGTTGCTGATGATGTTTCCTTCTCTTAGATTCTCACGCCCGTGCAGGGAAAGGCTTCAATCACATCTAAGGGTGTAAATGAAAGATGGGGTAGCTGTTTATGAGGTTTTTTGGGCAGTGACTCTGATGTCATTTTCTGGTCTCTTTCTCAGGTACCCAAGCGATGCTGATAAGCTTCTGTTGTCTCGACAGACTGGTTTATCGAAAAATCAGGTTGGCTCTTCTCGTAAATTCATTAATACATATTATATATTTGTGTGCTTATTTTGGCATAACATGATATCTTGCATTAATACAAAAAGAAAAACCCAAAACTCAATGGTAACTGGTAAGAACTAAGACAAGAGAAGTAAAACCATAGGAAGGGAACCATCAGTAGGTTCAGTAGAACTTGCATGGATTAGGGTTTGATTTCTCCGATTTTGTTAACTGTTTTGATATAATTATATATGATGCGACATAGTTCTGATTTCTGAAATAGATGGAACCTAGCAGGTTATAATTATTATATATTTAAAGGGCATGCAGAGAGAAAGTACAGAAACGATTAGACATGAAAAAGTTTGCAGCTTTTCTTTTTTCTGTCTCTCTCTCCTTTACCCTTGCAACAACACGATAAATCCCCAAAGTAAATAGCAGTAATGTTTTTTAGCTGCATGTTTTACTAGCACCATAGTTATATTTTTTTTATTTTTTTATCTACCTTTTTACTTACAATTACCACTTATGTTAGTTAAGTTTAATTACTCGTTTAAACTGTTATATAGACATTGCATGAAATCCAAAATGGAAATATATATGGCTGACATCGCCTGCAAAGTATACATATATGCTAGGAAAGACAAACATCTAATTCTGGTCCTACGTTTTCTGTAATTTATAACTCTGTAATAAATGGAGTGCTTCCCTACCTCAATAACCATGCCTGCTCTGGGACAGTGCTCAAGATTTCTTGGAGGTTCCTACAAGATTTCTTGGAGGTTCCTACAAGAAACAGACATTATCGAGGCAAAACATAGCTAACAACAAAGCTAACCCTGGGATTTAATGAGAATATAAAATCAATGTTTTGCGTAATTTGCAGGTTTCAAATTGGTTCATAAATGCCAGGGTTCGGTTGTGGAAACCCATGGTGGAAGATATGTACCAACAAGAGATTAAAGAAGAGGATGAAAATAATAATGAGAGCCACAACAGCAACAATGCACAGAAATCGACGCCTTCGACAACTGCCGCAACAACGCCGTCAGCTCCGCCACTAGCAGCAGGAGGCAAAAGATCCGAAATCAATGCCATGGAAAACGACCCTTCACTCGTTGGAATAAATAGGCAACGCTTCTCGGAAAACCAAGCAACCCACCACAACACCACTATTATTACTTCCCATGGTGGCAGAATTGTTTCAGCCGGTTACGGGACCACCACCACCACCCCTGCTAATGCCACTGACATTGGTTCGACATTCATAAGGTTGGGGACCACGACTGGTGATGTCTCACTCACCCTAGGGCTACGACATGCTGGAAACATGCCCGAGAAGAGTTCTTCTTTCTCAGTTAGAGACTTCGAGGGCTGTTAATCTCAAAATACATATGCCATAGTAACAGTACTATTCTCTTAAAAATACAAATCAACAATCCGATCTTTTTCCATTAAGATACAAAGAATGCGTAACGATAAACGCAGCATTAAAGTTAGCTAGTTGTGGTTGGCCTTATGATGAATGTATAGTGAGATTGTTTCACTTCTATATGTACTTTAGGTTTCTTTGTACATCTTCATATTTTCTAGAATAACATGAAATATGAACTCGATGCAATATTTTACAAGAAATGGCATTTCTAAAAATATATCAGTATTAATAAGCTAAAGCTGCAAAAATACAAAATCCCTAATTAGTCTCTAAACCTTTTGCTGTCAGCCAGGGATGGACTCAACGGCAGATGGAACAATCACCCTTCAAAATTTAAAACTATTATATATTTTAAAAATTTTATATATATATTTAAAAAAAAAATTGTTTCGTCTTCTCTTAAAATTTTATAAATTTATCTCTGATATAAAATTCTGTATCCGTACTGTGTTTTCCATTTTCTGTTGTCTTGAGAGTGAAAGAGAGAGTACTGTGTTTTCCATTTTCTGTTGTTTTGAGAGTGAAAGAGAGAAATTTGACAAGAAATCAAATACTTGTTTGGTTTCTTTTAGCCTTTTTTGTTTGAAGTAAAACCTGTTAAAATTTGATTCATCAACATTTTTTGTTGTTATTTTTTAACCTTTACATTCAATGTCGAATATATGTTACTGCGTAGGTGGATGGAGAGGAAGGGTGGTCCTGAATCCTGTGAGTCGTAGGCCAATTTTTCTGAGGACCATTTCCATATGACTTCACCTGAGTTTTTTATAGGCTCTATCAGACAATTCAATGAGTTGCCATTTTGGCATTGTACGGGTTCTTTGTCTTGTTTAGGTGACATAAATTTCAAATTCAATGCCAAAGAAACAGACCAAAAGTTTATACGAGTGCTTTCAATTTTCACATTCATTGATTCTTTTTATTTTGGAAATTACATCTATTGATGGTTTAGAAATCTCCATTTGGAACCCATTTCAAGCATTGGGCCGAATGATGCATCCAGGGATAGGATAGTGTAAGTTCTTGTTAGTCTTTAGGCCCATATGATTGTAGCATGTTATTATCGTTTTTTAATCTAAATTTCACCATAAAAAAATAATTTTAAAATCAACTTTCATTTCCAAACAATTTTTTTTAAAATGATATCTTTTTGTTGATCGAACGTGCCACATAAGACATAGATATATCCTCTGAGACAACTTGGCACGTTCATAGATTTAAATAAATAAACAAAACATAATCAATATAACACGCCTTTACTTGATCAGATACGCTTAGATGCCAGGCTATTAAAGCTTCTCTAGGAATTCTCGAAAATTATTTGACTGAAGGTAAATTATGACGTTGTATTGTTTTTTAGTTTCTTGTGTTTGAGGTAGATTTTGATAGGTTTGTGTGTTTTTAAGATTACTTAAGTTTATGATTGCCAACATATGTGGTGACATCGTATCAGAACCGTCTATGAGATCTTTTTCTTGTGACGATCACTTGTACCCATATCGTTTATGAAAAGAATGATTTGTTTGATAGTCATAATATATTCTATTATATTATTACTGACGACATTATATATTTTTTGTAATGTAATTATATTTACTGGATCTTGTATTTTTTTACTGTATTATTTTGTACGTCAATCTAAATTGAACGTTGTTTTGCATGTTAATCTAAATTGAGCTGATGGCTTAGGGTAAATTTCTTAAAATAATAATCATATATGAATGAAATGTGAAAGAATATCTAAATTGAGCTGGTGTGTTGTTTTATTATGATGGAGTTGATTGGCATGCATACATGCAAGTTAAAACCCATGTCAATATATCTTGTAGGGTTCTCAGTTCATGTTAAAATTTCAGGCAACACTTCTCACCAATCAATTTTACATTATTATGCATATTCAACCACAACTCTGCAACTCAACAAAAACTGTCAATCCTATATTCTAATGAAAACTTGGATCCTATAGAGAGATAAATAAACCGATATACATCATAAATTTGCTCCAGAATAATGCACAACCATGTGTCAAGCCAGATTAATATTCACAGGAAAAAACCCCTGATTCCGAGAACCAATAGATCACAGTCGGTCAGTCTCGTTAATCCAAAGTTCCATGCTAAAATTTTAGCAGAAAACATCCGTATGAAGTAGTCGAATTGAAATCACGCCATATCCGTCAGACTTACCATGTCAATTTTTGGTACCAGAGCAACATTCCAATTAATTTACATATGGTCTTATTACCTGTATTGTTTCCTTTTCTTTCTATTGCTTTGATGTCATTGAGCTATCTGATTGGAGCACACTTCCTTGGATATCAACATATGGTCTAATGAAAGTTCTTCGCCACCAGACCTCGAATGCCTTTTGGAGATTTGGGCAGTTGTCACCGGCCTTTAGAAAGCTGCCCAACCAAGCAAGCAGAATGCTCTGCTGATCTACTAGAGGCAACGTGAGGATCGTCCTACCGATACCTTCCTCCACCACTTTCCTATCAAATGACCTGCAGCCATGTTGCAACCAGCTGTAGTCATTGATCAACGGTTGCAACCAGGTTTGTAACAACAACTGACGAGTATCTTTCACCGGCAGTAGCTCCCCTTTTCCGATTCCAACAAATAGTCTAGCTGTAATGTTGTTAACATGGTAACGAGACACAATGGGCAGCTTTGAATGCAATGTTGCCAACTCTTGCTGAGTAGCCCAAATCCGTGCATATTCATCAGCTGCTTGCCTGTCGGCCAAAATCTCAGGCAACCATGAGAGATTATCAGCCTCCAACGCTATTTGTTTCACCACAGGTTCTTTGGTGTCCGTGTGTCTACCAGTTGGTTCTGGTTCAGCTGCTCGTTCGAACAGCAACAAGAGTGAATCCAAGCAGTTTCTACATGATATATAAACAGTTTCAATGAAGACGTCAGCTGTATCCGCATAACTTGGAAGTCTATTGTTTTCCCTAAGAAGCTTTAATACTATAGATTTCATTTCATGTCGGCTTCTCTCATCATTGCTTTTGAGAACAAGATCCATAATGTGTGAAATTGTTTCACTGGGGGAATTTGACTCATCAGAAGAGATGCGTTCTAATACTGGTGTGACACCGATACCTTCACCCTGGAGCCGCAGAACTGAAGATACCACTTTTTCTTCTTCCTCTTCGTCAACCCAAGGAATTGCTTCCAAGTATTCTAAGCATGAAAGTATGCATGAATTAAAACCAAGTAGTTCGGCAACCTGCAAAGTTCATTGTAAAAAAATTCATAAACTGGGCAAAAAGCTTTAAAATACTGAAACTGGTTTGACAATCACATATGCAGCACATGAAATTTTACAAATACATCTAAATGTATCGAGTTTACGAGTAAACAAATAGTTGAATGTGCATCAACATCCAGGTGATTTCTCGATACAAGACGGCAGAATTATATCTTTGTTTCCAACCAAGACAGCATGAAATCCAAGTAAACATTTGATGTACCAAAATTTAGGCAGAAAGACGTGCCTTCATGTGTCTTAATTAGCATTTATCAAGTTCAAAGAGATAAGATACCTCAGTTGAGTAACAATCTAAGATTATTATTTGTTAAGTCAGAAATAAACTACAAAGGGTGTTCTTAGCGCATGTGTTCATGCGCAACATAAAAAATTTCAATTCCTCAAATGAACAGGCCACAGTATTGAATGTGCAAATTACCTTGAGAATGCGGAGCACACGCGAAACATTGCGTTTGATTAATCGCTGTTTCATTTCTTTGCAGTACATTTGTCCAACAGTCTCGATGTAAGTTTCACCATCCTTGCAGTCATCAATTTCAAGGCAAGACAAACCAGGCTCTTGTTGAGAGAATTTTTCAGTGAAAAAACTGCTATTATCCAGTAGCACTTTCTTGTGGACACTCAATTTAACACAGTATCCTTGTTTGCCAAGCAGAACCACCTTCATATCACTAGTCCCTGGCTCACCAAACTCAATTGTCACTTTCCTCGGCACATGTTCTATCATAGGCTTCGGCGGTCTCTCAGTGATCGGATCACCGATATCAGGATTATCTGGGGTAAAATTTCTTTGAGCACCGGATGTAGCAGATGGCTTTATTGGGGCAATTGTTGGTTTCTTCCCGGTAAGCGGGATTTGTTTCTTATGAACATTACACTTGGGTGGTGGTGAGGATGATTTGGAGCATTTTGTGATTTGAGAGTCTTTTGAAACCCACCAGGAGAGGGACAACACCAAAAACCTTCAGGGGTCACTGCAATTGGAACATTTCTAATCTTGGTTTGGCCTTGCTCTACCTTACTAACTCTAATTTCATCCATTTTTAGTAAGAATTCAATGTATTATTGTAAGAAAATTGTGCAGGCCACTCTCCTAAAAGCAGCTGAAGATTTTATTTGAAATAAAACAAAAAAAATTTTAAAGCGCCACAACTTGCAGCTTTCCTAAGACAAAACAGACTTGAATAGCTACCAAATTAAGCAAAATACAAACAAGAAGAAATCCCAGAAAGAAATGTGAAGGGGGAAAAAGATAAAATCTTTACGGGTTCTCCTATGACCATAGATAGAACAATCCAGAGGGGAAAAGGGGGATTAAGAAAGAAACTTGAAAACTCTTGTGATCTATACAAATGAGAAACAAACATAACAAAAATAGTACATTTTTTAATACCCGACAAAGAGAATCATGAAAACTTACAAAACACTAAATTCTCAGCTGAAGAAAGGCTGGTGTTACTGTGTAACCTGGTTTCTGCCCTCAAAATCCCTTTCTTATCGATTATTTCTAAAGCCCACGGGAGCCTAAAATGATCGAGTGAAAGTGCTCTACTGAGTACCAAAGGATCCGTTCAACTCATACTTCTCCCAGGGCAAAATGATGAGTAAAGTGTTTGTATAATAAAAATAAAACACAACAGCTAAAGTGAAAACATACAAAAGAAAAAGAAACAACTTGATGCGGTTTGGTTAGCTTTTACAACGTTTCTCAGTGTTCTACTTATTGCATGGCTTTGCCAGTGCCACCCTAATATGATCTTTCTTTTGTCTTGAAAACGCTTCCTCTATAATCAAACAAGCTCCCTTTTTTTTAATCATTTCCTTCCAAATTTCCAAATCTTTTTTATTTAAGAATTTAATTTAAGAATGAATATTAGATGAAACCAAATTAAATAAAAAAAAA